GACGAACGCACGCATCGTTTAGTGAACACTGCCCGTCTGGTGATTTTATAAGTTATTTCAAGACTACCAACCAAGAGTAATCGAGTGTACATCACTGCTCGTTCAGTGATTTTATCATTAAAAGGCGAAAGTAAAACGTTCGTCGCCGACTCCTCTATGTAAGGGGTAGATCCGCGTGAGACTGACTGAACGAAAGCGCAATGTGCAACTGACGAGACTTGAAGGACGAAGCACGTGCATTGTACTGTATAAGTGGCCATAATAAAACTCATGCATGGCTCAGAAATAACTATAAGGCGCCGTTCTATTGTTCCGTTTGCAATTTGGAAAAGGAACTCAATAAACTTTCGAAGGTGCAAAATTGAAGGACTGTGTGTAGCCCAATCTGTGCATGCGCGATGTGAAAAGTACAGACATTTTGGACACTGATGTGTCTGTAAGGTCACAAAGTGTTGACTGGATATTTTTAGATGTCCCATTATTACATTTTACTGCTCAAGTCCCGGCACTTTCAATACTTTTTCTTTTTACGTCGACGACCGCCACAGTATCTAATTGAATAGCTGCCAATTTATTATACTCTGAGGAAAGCGTTTCGTGTGCTAAACAAGGAATAAGAAGTAAAATGATTTCTGTAGTGATTACGGTCTCGCGGATCTCCAAGCTAAAGAACATAATCTCTTTTAGAAATCTTTGAGGCTCTTAACTACCTTGCTTCAGCGATCTTCTAATTACCAACATGAGCACCATAAGATTATAGTTCTGTCGAGGTGGAGTAACTAAACTCATACCGAAAGCTAGTATAAACTTGTACTTTTCTCGGTTAATTCCAATTCTTAATAGTTTTCAGCCAATTGATAAAGCTTACTATAAGTTGAACAACGTGTTCGAAGTGAAATGCTTGTTTATTCCTAGCACGTTTGTTTTCATATCGCCAAATGAGTAGCGTCTGTTTGCTGCGATTCACTTTGTTTATTTTTCAAGTGTCACCATAATACACTATTTTCAAACTGAATTTCGCTCAAGATTATCCTTAAATTGGAATTCAGCAAATAGAGGAGATATGTAGCTTCGTTTGACAATCATTTTGTCATTTCCAAAATCCAAAAAAAAAAAGAATTGTTGTAACAATTTTTTTCAATCTTCTTTAGAACGTGAATTACCGTATGAACCACCTTTTCCTGAAAACGCATTTGAGTGGTGGGCTATCACAACCTTTTCAGCAGGTTATCCAGCTCATTATTTGATTGTTCGACATTTCAAGCTAACCAAAGATCTTCGACCAATTTGTTTTTTATAAATCACGAGAGTTTATGCGAATTTTAGAGTAGAAAAAGGTAAGAGACTGAGTGAGTGAAAAATTCCTCGATTTTCTTTTGAGGACTCATTGTAAACGCCAATGCGCTCTTATTCCTGTAACTTAAAGATTTATGTACAATGGCTATTTTGCGCATAATAAATGTAGGCGATATTTGAATGAAAATTCTTATTTTTTCCTAAACCATACGCTAGGTCCTATGATATGATTTATTTAAACAGCCGATATTTGAGCAATTTCGCCTTGTTCAGAGCCTAGAAATATCAGGTGACCGTACACAGATCACATAGACTCGTAATTTACCTTCCGTATCGAGGTAACTGTCCCACATACTATTTCCTCCTGCTTCTTTAGAAGAAAGATATGATGCCCAGCGAATCCCTAGAGCGAGGAGGACTCGCTGGGCTACTTCTGCACGCGATAGGGAAAAACGGGAGAGTTGCTGTTATCCGCTCGAGTCACCCGACGATCAACGGGACGACAGGTGACACAGGTGATGTTATGAGGCATTCCTCCCTGCGGTTCATGCTTGCATCATTGGTGGATTTCCCCAAAACACTTTTAAAATCCTACGCGCTGATGTTCCACGTTTCCTGAGTGACGGTGACTTTCACTTCAAAATATTCTCCGTTATGCGGCTATTTCCTGTCTGGATCCAGTGCGGCACTTGGTCTAGAATGATCCTTACAGCCTAGGTGTTCCCTAATGCGGACACTATTTGGCCTAACTGTTTCGCCAGTGTGCCTTTAGTCTCACTTATTACATGAGATTGGGTTAACTATACCTATGCTCATACATTATTTCACCTATCGTTAAGGCACATTTCGCATTCTTGGGTTTATAGGGACGGTCTAATAAACGGTTGCGAAGTAGTTGCTTTTTAGAGCACTGTGTAGTATTTCAAAAATTGTTACTGATTTCTCTCAACCTGCTCTTTAAATAACGTTTCATAGCTATACCGATTCAGTCTGAAAAGAAATGGAGGATAAGAAGAACTCTGCTTCCGTTGAATTTGTTTGTAGGCGTGTCATTTTTTCTGATTCTATGCGAGGAGCTACAATTTCGTAGGCATCAGAAATGACAATACCACGAACCAGTATGACAAATCCTACTCTCTGCTCTCTTACAGTACACACAACGGGATATTTTTGTTACCTAGATTACGGTACCACTTCGCATTGTAGATGTTATCGCATAGGTTGATTTAGACCTTCACGAAAGGGAGTCATCTATCCTCTCGTATTTTACGAGTGAATTTCATGCACTCTGAATGTTCGTTTAGTAATCTAAAACATCTAACTGAATTCTCTTGAATGGAGGAGGTAACCAAACAATCATCTTATCTATCTTATCTTATCTAATAATCTATATATCAGCAGTAAAGTAGTGACCAAAGAATATATTCTCAGGTTTGTACTTTAAACGTAAAGGCAATAGCCAGACCGTGTGTCAGGGTGACCCCATTGGCAACCCTCTCACTTGCGCCAAATAGTTCTTGGAACATCCGAAGATTGAGCAGTTTAGACACTCTTTCAGAAGAACCTTGAGCAGCTGTATCGACAAGTCATACATGTTTATCGCTCTTCGGTGTTGCATAAAAAGCTCAAGGATCGCTTGAATTGCAGAGTCATTAGAAACGCTGTTACAGAGGGCGGTCACGTCGGATGATCTCTTACATGCGTGTTGTATGCGTTGAATAAAATATGATGGAATTGCATGCAAAAAAACTGCATTCAGTTCAGGAACTCTTTGATTTGTATAGCGTAAAATGTGTGCTGTTGCTGAAATCTTCTGATATTTGAGAAATTGATAAAATATCCAGTAATAATAAAGATGAGTACTACATCACGTTACTGCAGGTCCACAGACCCAACCACCCAGGCTTTGGCTTGACCCTGCATCGAGCTCATCAAACCTCTCTTTTCTCCGTAGCTGTAGAGCTGGTGTCAAACCTGTATGAAACTTGATCGCCAACTTCAATTAACATGAAAACTTCTAGAATAGCAGTTTCAAAGCTCTAGTGAGATTCGGCTGTACTACTTTTTGAGAAAACTCGTAAAGAAGACCAAAAACATTGTGAGACCCATAGTCAAAACGACTTCGCGCACGATGGATTCGAGAAGTAAAGTCAAGTAGAAGAGCTGCTGGCACCTACACAATAAGATAAATGTAATTTTTGTTATACAAAGGGGAAACAACTTTGTTATATTTAATAATGTAGTAAAATATTAACTACAAAATTCCCTTCATCACAATATGCGAAAATCTCTCACCATCAAATATATGAAAACGAATTTAAATCTAAGATGAATCCAGCTTCAGCGCAAAAACAAAGGTTAAAACGAAGCTTTTGACGATGACCAACTCTTGGGGATTAGATCGTAGTAAGAACTGTAGAGTTTACTAAATGCATACTTGTCGTATACAGTGATTTGTGTCTTCACATTGATCTATCAGTGTCGCTATCCCTCAAGACAAGGCTGGTACCAATTTATCAAATCCAGATTGTGGGGTGCTTGATTAGTTTGAAGCACGGGATCGCGTTAACATTCACGTCTACATGTCTGCATAAATAGGGCACATCTAACCAATATGGTATATTCGCATGTATTTTCTCGATTGTTCAATAATGGAAGGGTAGATGAATATCATTTCAATAACGGTTACCAAGCGATTCTGTTGTGTTTAAACATTCAAGCAGAGAGTTATGAGATTTTCTTTATCCAGATTTTCATAAATGTGAGCGAAATGGTTCCAGTGGGAAAGACTACAAATGACTTTGTCAACATCATTTGTTGTCGGCAGCCTGTAAACATTCGCGCTTTGTATTTCTACCTGATTGCCATGTTTCTTATCTCATCGTCATCAGTACACGATCTTTAATGTTTAAAAGATCGATACTACATTTCAACTTAACGAAGAGCTTCCATTTTTAAGGTCCCTGCTGTATTAATATCTCGCGCTTCCATCAAAGGTCAAAATGCTTGAATTACCTTTGCTTTTTCTTTCTTTCCAATCACTCTCGCCGCTTCTTCTTTCTTTCCAATCACTCTCGTCAAAAAGAGCTGTGAAAAAGGGGGATTGCTTTGCAAAATGGAAGGAGAATTGTAAATTTTTCATCTCTCTATATGAAAAAGGACTTCTTCTATGAAAAAGACAAATAGTCGATTAGATTATCAGAGACATAGATCACTTGAGCTTTTAGACATTGAAGTTAGAGAGAATTATAGTTGCCTTTTTCTTCATTTTTGAAGACATTTCAACACGGTACCAAAATTTCCTAAAATCAAGAAAAGTTTTCTCTCATCTTTTTTTTTCTCATTAAGTCTGTTAAGATTGCTTCTTTTATCTTGAAACCGGTTTGAATCAGTTTTTAGTTTCCTTTTGCCTTAATCACGTCAACATTGGAACGTGCTCAACTATCCCTTTTTTTTGGAACCGACAGTTAACTCTACATAAACAGTCATTCTACACAGTCATGTCTCATCCTTCACTCAGAATTCGATAACGACGACACCTTTTGCATCAAGTACACCTCTGTCATCTCATCGACGAACACTTCTCGGCTTCCGTCTAATAGAATTCGTTCAAATTTTCGGCAATTTTTCTTTACTGTATCAAGTCATTTCTATCAAAGTGTATTTGTTACTTATTTGTTGAAAAGAGTGGGTGTCAAAAACGGGCGTCGGTAGTGTAACGGTTCAGCATGGGCTCCCGTAGAAAGTGAAATCTGGGTTCGAATCTCAGCCGACGCAAATGTTTTGCACATTACTCTACATTACGGGGTTTATTATACATCATACCACCGCGATAGGCGGTCAAATAAAATGAATAATATTCATTGCTGTTACATCAGGAATATACGTTGCAGCAAAATCATTAGTAATCTTTTATCAGAGAAAAAATTCTTTTACTTCCGATGACATAGCAGACGTAACTGTCTACGATGTCTTCTGGTGCAATCCAGATCGGCCTACATATTATTGTCTAGCTACCGATGCGATTAAAGTTTCAAGTGAAAGCTCTGCGACTAAATGATAGGTGGCTGTCGAAGCGATCTGTGAACCATGAACCTAGGGTGAGTACTGCTGTCGTGAATAATTGGTTTTTCTGAAAAGAATGTGAACACGGATGATCGAAAGCAAAGTGTTCAAAGAGCCTTTTATAACACATATTTTATTCTTTCTTTGATCGTGCGCCTCGGACACACTGAGCCTTTCATCTTTTCGGAATGGGAAAATTCCTATCAAACTCGCCTGGAATGATGAAAGACACTGCGTTGATAGATCGATAGGTCTCAGTTAGGTATTGTAAGAGCCAAAAATGCACTCAGTCATACGTTCATTAATGCGAACACGTCTCCGTGAACAGTAGTGAAGTGAAACTCGTGTTCGGGATATTTCACCCTGATGTTTCAAACTAGTGTTAGATATTAGGTAGCAGAAGTTCTGCGAACATTCTGCAGTCTCTCTGAAGCAACCACCATACATGAGTCTCACGGGGAGTGCCAGTCCTTGTAAGGCAATTAGTGCGCTGTTCATATGAACATTTTTTCTGTGTACAACTTTTCGTTTCATCATCACCATTCCTTTCAAATATTTTTCAAGATTATGCAAAGTGTGTCATAAACGGTCTTTTATTGCTTTTATTATAATATGCCTTGAAACATTCACTCACAATGTTACATCTGACTGCTTATTCTTTTTGCATGGCAGACTACGATGTGAAGTACAGTAGCAGGAATGCTGAGATAAGAGCAGAACTTTTGATCCGATGCTCCATTCAATCAGTGACTAGTGCTAAAAATTCACGTGTTACCCACTAGACCAATCAAGACCTATACTCTGTTTGCTTTTCTCCTCTCAAGCTTTATTTCAACGTTTTTTTTTTCTTGAAGTTGTCTTTTCATCATAATTATTTTATTTTAGTAGGTGTGCAGAAAATGAGGACTAATGATACGCCAATGGTTCGAAGTGTTACAAATCGACTAATGTAAAAACGGAAAAAGAACTGGACTAAGTGTGCTCAACTCCTGCAACTTCCGCAGCCTGCAATATGGATTATAATGCGTGGCAGAATGCTTTCTGATAAGAATAGGCTTTTCAATGATCCACTATTCGCCGTAGGCCATTGCTGTCGAAAGTACATCTTTTATGGTGCGTTGAAAATCTCGGAGTAAACATCACAACGATGAGCTCGCTTTTTTACAGAACTCATGCGACATGTATTCGTAAAACTTTTTCCTTCCAAGCTTTCACATGGCATAGAATCTCTGAGATTCCTGTGAAGAATGGATCTTTTCCAAAAAGTCTACTTTTCCTGCATCAGAACACTTTATCACATGTTGCGCAATTGACACTACGGAAATGTACCCACATCAAATACCTGGTTACCTCTACCGGGAGCTCATGTGCTATCCACCACATCAGTCGAGATTCATACCTTTTTTCCCATCCATGTTTACACTCTATCGGTAATATTAGCAGCCACCCGTCTATGGAAATGATCTGGGATACTCAAATCGTCATTGAACACAACTAAGCTGGTACTGAAATCAAGATTACAAGATCACAATGTTATAAGCTCGTATACTCAAAAAGGATGTTGAAATACGCACAGAACTCAAAAACTTGATGCTTTTCTGTTACGAATACTAACCAGCGCTGTATTTTTCTGGGGCATACTTTACATCGTACCCAACCGAAAAATAAAATCAGGGCAGCAAATGAGAAATTGAAATTGTGATATCAATCACGGCTCCAGCTTAGCTTGGAATTTGATGCTGATTTGTGATCTGTAGAACAGTTCCGTTGACAGGTGATTGCTGGAGGCCACCAAATAGATGAAACACAGCTGAGAGAAAGGCAGTTGGGGCATCAAAAAGACCCAGTGGCGATTCGACAAGAAACAAAAAGCGTCAGGTTCTGAGTTTACTTCGCATCTCACCACTTTCGTCGCTATGCTTCACATCGTACTCCACCGTTGAAATAAAATTAGGCAGCAATGAAAAATTAAAAGTATCACTTCTATTTAATACCTTTTTTTAAGCTGCAATGGTTCTGGGATTTGAGTGAAACTCGCGATAATGAAATGTGACAGCTTCCGCTGGTGTGGTGCATAGCACGTAAGCTGCGATCTCGGTAATAACGGATGAGTAAGCCAATCGAACTTCCAAGTTTTGCTCGTGTCTCAGCATTCTTTTGAATTTATCTCATTCTTAACCTGTCATGAAAAAATTGCATGGGTGAGAAATTAAAGGTTGCAGACGTTAACGATGCAGAATTCGCCGCGTTCGGCAATATACTTTCTTCATCCCTCCTGCTTAATGGGCGACTGACTCGTCTCCGTTGTACGGCGCAAACCTACATCTACTAATTTCGCCGACCAGGATGTCGAAATTAACCACTCGTGAAACACCATGGTGGTCTTGATACATGAAGTTCAGGATTCATTGAATACAATAAATTAGGTGGAGAAATAATTAACTGCTAACTTGAGACTAGAATGTCGTGGCTCATATTGAAAGTATATTCGTTGAACTACGTATTTCAAGAGTCGGTGAGTCATATTTCTCTCTTTTTTTTTTAGCCGAGATTGATATTTAAGCACGAAAAAAAAAATGAGTAAGCAAGACGTCGTCCATTCGACACAGCTGTGTATGCATCTTTTATGTTTTCGGAAGCCATATTTGCTCTGAAAGTGTGTCAAAGATTAAAGTTTTGTGTCAATTTTTCGGAATTCCAAGTTGAAATTGAAAACGTTTTAATAGATATTATTTATACGCTTAGTTATGAAGTCGAGTTTTAAGTCGATCGAACTTCTCGAGGAGGCTATGGAAAAAAGGAATATATCGACTTCCTAGTTGTGAGAAACTCGTTCGGTAGGTTTGTTGCTTCCTACTGGTAAAAACTGCCGGCATTATCTGACTCAGGACATAATTTCACTTCGTTTTTAACCTTTCGCCACAATTAATCATCTGTTCCATATGCCAATTAGTCATCATAGGCCATTTTTTCAAATCTAGACAAACTTGTGAAAAAGAGATTTATTACATTTTGCTTATATTCATTGCAATGTAAGCAATAAATTAAAATTAGAAACGACGAATGAAGATCATTATAATATGAACAACCGTAATACGACGACTTTGGGCCACTACACATGATGTCTGACGAAGTAACACAAACTTTCGGAACTTTAATGAATTTTCAGGTAGTCAGAAGTACCTGTCAACTCTTCTGTGCATTTTGTAATTGCTAATAGTGAATAGTGAATGATGATAATGGTATATAATAATAATAATAATAATGATAGTAATAATAATAAGACTGGAAATCATAATGATAATGAATAGTGAATAATAGCGATAATTCAAATTATATGCTTTATACTTTTTTAGGATTATGTGAAAATCACCCGAATAGACGCTTTGCACAGAAATCCTTAATGTTCGATGAGAGAATACTTAGACGTTCGATGTGAGGTTGACGGAAGCTCAACAAACAAAACTGCTTACATATAATTAGCTGATGATTGAAATCTGGTTTGAATAAACAGATCATTTCAAACGACATTGAAACTTGTCAGATGACGTCGTTGGTTCCCACCTCATCAGAGAACGACTCACTTGACGCATCAATTATCGAGATTGATTTTAGCACTGAATGACATCACTTCGAAAGGAAAAAACAACGTGACCATTTGAAGTTCACATATGAGTTTGTGATTGTTTTTAATTTCAAAATGTAATCAAGGAAATTAATTTATTCCATACAGTGGTTCAGGTAATTTACGGATTGACATTTGGGGAAAACTTTCAGTTCAATCGTCTAGCGCAGTTGCTTCTTAATTCATATCTCTGATTTCCATCGTTGCTTTTTCATGCTCTCGCTTATTTTTATGCGAAGTTAAACCTTCACAAGCTTTTATTCTTCAGAAACTTTTTCCGTCGTCAGCTTGATTTCGCAGAATTTGTTTCGTCTGAGATCCGTTCCGATTTCGAAGTATATCAATTTGTCATAGTACTTGAAATTATATGAATTTACTTGGTGCAGATGACGAAGTGGTTCGAATACGAATCAGGACAAGCGTGGTGTGAGAGCGCCTACAAGTACCAGACATTGCCAATGGTCGCCGAATTTGCTAATACGGTACTTTTCTTATCAGAATGATCGCATATATTCTTTAATTTTACTTCCTATTTGATAGATCTGAAAAGTTGAAGAGTCTGCCTACTTATTTGAGGCGATTTACAATCTAGAACAATGTTAGCCAGATTTTATTTCAAATTCTTGGATTGGAAATAACTTTCACCAATTAATTGGCCCAGCCGAATTTTCATCAACCTCTCCATTGATCAATCAGTTAGAGCTTCCATGAAGAACAGACAGGAGGTCTTGAATATAGGATTTGATCAACAACGGTAGATTTTTTTTCTGGTTCGCGTTTAGAGCTGTCCTCATATAGACATTCCATCAATTTGATAGTTTCAGGCTCTTTAGAAGTTAAAAACTCCGCAATGTTGTCCAGTGCTAAGTAGGCCTTGCATTAACAACCTTGTGTTTACTTAATAACAAAAGAGTTCGTTTTGTGTTTCTGGTGTTCTTTTGCCACCTTACTAAGTAATGACATTGTTAGACTATTGATCTGTTTACAGTGACTAGCCAAGTAGATTAATCGTTCACTATCTCATAAGATTTTTTTAGATTGTCATTCAATTTGTAGATTTTTTATCAATGCTTCTACGCCTAGGATT